TGCTGCGGGCTCGACTTGCGTGGTGCAGAACCCCTGGTACTCGCAGTGCTGCCGGTGAGTTACACTCGACTTGGATACGGGACGTCACTTGTACTGACCAGATACCAGGCACCGCCGCTCCTCCTCCGGCCAACCCGACGACGACCTCGACGCGGGCCGCGACGACCTCGACGCGGGCCACGACGACTCTCGTCACATCGACGACGCGTGCCGCGCCTCCCCCGGCCACGACAACGGCGGCCGCGCCCCCCACCACCGGTGGCGCCTACGTCAAGACCAACGGCCTGCTCTTCAACATTGACGGCGTGTCCAAGTACTTCCCCGGCACCAACTGCTACTGGTGCTCGGTCGGCGGGCTCTCCAACGCCGACACGGACCTCGTGTTCAACAACCTCAAGGCGAACGGCCTCAAGATCCTCCGCGTCTGGGGCTTCAACGACGTCAACTCGATCCCGGGCTCCAACACGGTCTGGTTCCAGAACCACGCGGCCTCGGGCTCGACCATCAACACGGGCGCCAACGGCCTGCAGCGCCTCGACTACGTCGTCCAGGCGGCTGAGCGCACGGGCGTCAAGCTCATCATCAACTTTGTCAACAACTGGGACGACTACGGCGGCATCAAGGCCTACACCAACGCCTACGGCGGCACCCACCAGACCTGGTACACCAACACGGCCGCCCAGGCCCAGTACCGCCGCTTCGTCCAGGCCGTCGTCAGCCGCTACACGACGAGCAAGGCCATCTTCGCCTGGGAGCTCGCCAACGAGCCCCGCTGCAACGGCTGCAACACGGACGTCATCTTCAACTGGGCCAAGAGCGCCTCCGAGTACGTCAAGAGCCTCGACCCCAACCATCTCGTGACGCTCGGCGACGAGGGCCTCGGCATCGCCGGCGACTCGAGCTACCCCTACCAGTTTGGCGAGGGCACCGACTTCGCCAAGAACCTCGCCATCAACACGCTCGACTTTGGCACTTTCCACCTCTACCCCGGATCCTGTACGTCCCTTTCCCCTCATAGGCCCTAGGTCGGAGAACCGGGGACAGCTAGGTAGACTGGTAGACTAACAGCGCAACAGGGGGTGTCTCGTACGACTGGGGCAACAAGTGGATCAAGGACCACGCCGCCGCCTGTGTCGCGGCCGGCAAGCCCTGCTTCTTCGAAGAATGTAAGAGAGAAAAAGACTTGCACCTTTGGTCCGAGAGAGAACAGCAATGCTGACGAGATGAATGACAGACGGCGCGCCCAACAACCACTGCGCCATCGAGCGCCCCTGGCAGCTGACCTCCGTGGCGACGCCCGGCATGGCCGCCGATGCCTTCTGGCAGCTTGGTGACACGCTGAGCTACGGCAAGTCGCACGATGACGGCAACACCATCTACACCAACACGGACGACTGGACGTGCCTTGTCACGAACCACGTCGCCGCGCTTGGTTAAGGAAGGGAAGCAGACGGTGTTAGCAGGAAGGGAAAGGAGTGTGGTTCTGACTCGACCTGGTGAACAGAGCGCGAAGCAATCAGCCCAGTCAGATAGGACACCGGATAAATTGAAATATCGCCTTGTCATAAGACGATTCTAGAGTCACCCTGTACAAATGAAGAAGCGGCGTTAATGATGAAGGATGAAATCACCGTGGCCCTTGACGCTCACTTGCTTATCTTATCGCCAACGACGTCACCAGATAAAATGGCTTACCTAATGTCCGAATCATCGTCAAAAGCATCCCACGTTCTTTCCCACCAGACATCCCAAGTCCCTTCTCCAGTATCTGACCCGAATCGCATTGCCCCCAGAAAAAGATGGGCTCATCTTCGTCCAAAGCCGCCTCAGGCGCCGCGCGGAAATTCCCAACCCGCTCGCCAGGCGCCGCCGTGCCTCCAGCCGCAGCCCGCCAGCCCCGAAGCGCACCGCCAAGGCCGCAAGCCTCAACCACCAAAGACGAAGGTAAAGTCGCCACGGTCTCCGTCGACCCCGCTCCCTTTTCCCGTCCCGCGAGGCAGTGAGAAAAGACGCCAGGAACTCGATACTGAACAGCCGTAGCCATCGCGCCGACGCCGCAGACCCCGAGGTGACAGCCGACTTCTCGGCGCGCCTGCACCAGATGGGCATCGCCCAGCCCAACCCGACCTACAGCCCCTCGTCGCACGCGCGCCCCGCGCCGGCGTCGTCGCCCTCGGACGCGCACGCACCGCCGAGCGGCGGCACGGGACCACTCTTCCCCTCGGCGCGGAACAACTCGACCCTCGGCGCGCTCGAGGCGCGGCGTCTCGCGGAGGTGGCGGCGCGGTCTGAGTTTGAGGCGCTCGGCAGGAAGGGATTCCAGGGACGCGAGTTTCTCGACCTCAATACGATTGTGCAAATGCATGTTCTGCGCGACCGCGGCGTTGCGGACCGGGAGATTGAAGAGAGGTTCAACCTGAAGCAGGGCGTTGTCGCGAGGCTGGGGACGAGGGGCATCACGGTTCCTGCGAGCATGGCTGAGGCCGAGGCGTGAGGGCCGTTATCACGACACGCATGCAGGTATCTGGTTGAGAGACTGTACATCATTAGGCGTTACTATGGAACTGTATACCATGTACGAATACGAGAAAGTGAAGAAACAAAAATATCGGGGATTCGCGAGGGCAAGACGGAGAAGAAAAAGACAATGCCCGAAACCCCAAGCCCTGGCGCTCCCAAGCGCCGTGATGAAGACCCGCTTGCAAATCCAGATGGACACAACTGCCACCTAAGCTACCACGCCGCGTGACCACCGTCCATCCGCAGATCGGCGCCCGTCATGAAGCTGCTGGCGTCGCTGAGCAGGAAAACGGCGGCACCGCGGTACTCCTCGGGGGCGCTGAGGCGGCCGAGCATGTTGTGCTTGGGCCACTCGTCGCGGCGCTCGGGGTACGTCTCGAAAAGGGCCTCAACCATGGCGGTGACGATGTAGCCTGGAGATATGGTGTTGACGCGGATGTTGTGCTCACCCCACTCGGACGCGAGGTTGCGGGCGAGCTGAATGACGGCAGCCTTGGAGGCATTATAGGCGCTGGAACATGGTCAGTACGCTGTCTGTCTGGGTATGGATGAGACGGGGTTTTGTGCAGGGGCAGGAACGTACGGGCAGATGAGACCGCGGTTGGCGACGGTACCGCTCATGCTGGCAATGAGGACAATGCTGCCTTTGCAGCGCAGGCGGACCATTTGGCGGGCGACGGCCTGGGCCGTCATGAAGACGCCGGTGACGTTGACGCCCATCATGCGATCGACATCTTCGGCCTTGTACTCGAGAGCGGGCGTCTCCTGCTGGATACCGGCGGCGGCGATGAGGCCATCGACGCGGCCATGCTCGTTGGCGATGCCCTCGATGAGGGCATTGAGATTGTCGACATCACGAACGTCGGCGCGGTGGTACGTCAACGTGGTGCCCAGCTCGCTCTTGGCGCGGTTAGCAACCTTGTGAAAGTACGAGTCGGGCTCAGGCAGACGGTCAATGGCATGAACTGAAGCAATTAGTAGGAGCCCCGTATGGCCGCCGTTGAGAAGCTGGTCAGGTACTCACCAATCGCGCCGGCCTCGAGGAGGGCTTCTGCTTGGGTCAGACCAAGGCCTCGTGCAGCGCCAGAGACGATGATGACCTTGTCCTGGAGGCTGAACTCGGGTAGCCGAGTAGGCTGGTGAGAAACGGAACCCATTGCGGTCGATTGGAGAGGCCTGAGGGACTGGTGAAAGGGCCGAGCCGCTCGAGCAGAGGCAAATGGAGTCTTGATGATGCGCTGGGGTGCTATGACAAGTGCGGGGGTCTGTACACGAAGCAGTCGCGATGGTAGTCCGGCGTAAGGTAGTAGATGGCGGGACATAATGGCAGATGAACACAGCAGAAGGCGAATTTATAATGGAAAGAGATATTGCGAGAAGAGGTGTAGACTGGTTGGTCAGGTGTGTCGACGATGCTCTCTGCTTTGTTCAGGTTGTGTTGCGCTGGTGAGGCGGTAGAGGGGAAGGAAGGTCGGAGCTTCCGTGAGCGTCTAGGTCGACGAAGCGTTCCATGCCGTGCCACCTTGGCCGGGACAGCTCATCTGAGCTTCCCGATCAGCATTCACTAAGGTAAGGCATGCCAAGATGGGGCATGGTGACCTGAGCTCGAGCTGCCTTGTGCCGCTAGCAGCTAGGGCTCCCGCGACGTCCGGCGGCCGGCGGTCTATGTGGCGGGCGACATCGTGGGGGCTAGGTTTCGATTCTGTAGAGCTACGAGCATTTGCTAGGTCGGAGGCGTTCAGGCAAAGTACCCTGTCGTACCTCCAGCAGACCGAAAGGGGCGACAAAGCTTATGTGTACCTGGGTGAAGTGCTCCTGGTGCGTGGTTCTGGGGGCGCATTGGCCCTTGCGCATGCCTATGGAGATGGAACTTGAATCTTGGAACCTAACTTAGGTAGACTGGGGGATTCTCCATAGCCAGTGACAAGCCATGGTTTGTATTGCTGATGGTGCAAGCGATCGCAGCTCTTTTCCGGATCGGAGAGGCCATGTTGTCATGAGCACACGTGCTGAGGAAAGGATGATGTACTCCATCGTCAGGCCTCTTGGACAGCGAATCCTTTCGAGTGTTGCTTTCCTGATGCGAGCCTGATGTGTACCTCATTGCTGCTCGGTGGAACTGGTGTTCTCGCAGGACCTGAGGTAGTGTACCAGACACTGATGGCTGCAAGCAGCATGGTTCTGCTAGGGGCGTGATCAGCGGTTACCACGAGGGACGGCCAACAGTTCGAGAGCAGCCCGAAACAAAAGCGGATCCTGCACTCAGGGTCTCGCCTTGTGAAGCGCAAGCTCTTGTATCCAATTATGGAAATTCCGCTGTCAATTAAGTGAAGGACGAGCCGAAGATGGAGAAGTCAATTCTGCTATTCAAGACTGATCAATGTGACATGGAGAACATCAGAGGAATGGAGAACCAAGTGGCCGAGACCGCTTCAGTGGGGCTTCGTGTTACAGCGGCAGGACCAACAGGCGTGCTGTGCGGGGTTCCTTCCCCGCGTGCTGCAGTGGAGCACCACCACTGCACCACTGGAGATCACTGTAAGAATTCGGAAATACAGGGGACCCCCCCACTGACTGCCCCAGGTTCCACCGGCTTTCCCAATCTGGACTTCCGCAACATGGTACTCTGCCTTTGCCCAAACCCTCACCAGTCTCTTCCCATCTCAACAAACCTCTGTAGCCCAAGTCCAAGCTCGGCATCCCGATCATGATCCACCGCCTCCACCTTCCGTCCGCTGTTCTGGGCTCGCTGACGGTCTCGAACGTCTTTCCTGACGCGTCTTCATGTCTCTTCACACCTCATGACTACTCGCAGCACGCCTCGATGATCTGATCTTTGCCTGATACAGCACCACTTCGAACCCAGTACTCTGTCACGTCAAGCTGTCTGCGGCCGGTTCCCCCTGTCGCGCAATCCACCTCTGGACCAGCCAGAACGCCCGCAGATACGATATCCCCACCCCGAAGCTCTCGAATCCGATCGAGAGCCCCGCCACCGCCATCTTCCGCCGGATGAACCTCCCCCTGGTATCTTGCTTGGTGCTTGGCGCCGCCACGAGCATGATCCAGAGGAAGATTCCCGGCATGCCCTTCCATCGCGTAAGGTTGACCCCCCTTATGGCCTTGTAAGCCCGCTCTAGCGTCTTGTCGTCCTTGAACTGCGATATCTGGGCCATCGACGAGATGGACCAGCTGTAGATCAGCCCGGCCAGCCGCACCGCCTCTTCGATACGCTCCGCCTCGGATTCCATATCAGCAACATCCGCCACCTCCGCGCCCTGCTCACTTCGGCCGCCCTCTCTGCCTGAAACTTTGCTGAGCCGGTGTAAATCCAGGAGGCTGTGCTCTGGATCTTGCGAATACTGGCGGGTCCGCCGTCGGCCTCTGTGATTGAAGTAGTCAAGAAGCGGACATCGTCCAGGATCCTAGCTCCAGCTCCTGTTAATCCCAGCTTATCCTTAACGTCATCAAACGAAACATTCGATCTGATCAGTGGACAGTCAAATCCGTCTGGCCACGACGTTGGAATGGGGATCTCCTCCAGCAATACTGGATCGTTGCTCTGGAGGTAGAGCTCCGTCTCGAAGCAGCACGATATTTCGTAATCGGTCCTGTCCTTGTCGTCAGTCAGTCTGTCTCGACTCTGAGAAATGTCATGCCACATACAAGATGATGATGGACTCTCCCACAATGTCTTTGATACCCCGCAAGCCGCTCCGAAGGTTAATCATGTGCTTCATGCCCCTTAGATGCGCCCACATGCTGTCATCGGCGCCCCAAAACCACTATACGGCAAGATCAGTATTCCAGCTATACATCGTGAGGGCTTACTCAAAGTTCCTACCTCCATGACGCAAAGGTTGATGACCGAACGGATGACCTCCTGGGCAACCGAGCCAAAGTCACCCTTGAGCATCTCATTGATGCCAGTGAGGACCCTGGCTTTGATCGCTAGCGACTCGGAGTTGCGTGTCACCTCGACACCCTTCTCAAGCGATTGCGTAGTTGACGCCATGAGCATGCCGATGCTAGGGAAATAAGGGCGACTGCAACATCCATGGCAGAACTTCTGTCAG